TGGTGCAAATAGTTAGGTATATTAGCTGAAAGACTGGTGATGTGAACATAGCCAGAGGTGAACTGGAAGATAGGTCAATCAATCTACTTCTGAAAGATCACGGTCTTGAAAATGCTCTGCTACCTAGTTCACCCCTGTATAGACAGGCTGACCAAGAATCCGAATGGACTCAATGACAACTCATTAACAATAACCACAGTGTAGGAATGGAGATGTTTTATGGTGAGACAGTTCTGAACTTAAAGGCAGCTCTAAAAGCTAACAGTTGAGTGACACTCCCAAGTTATTTAAATTCTTAGTACCTAATTTTTTTATGTTGTAGATTGGAGATACAGACAGCTGCCAAGAAGGTATAGTGAAATGCAATGAGATAATATGTAGGAGGTCTGGAAGAGCAGCCAGCAGAAAATAGGAGTTTTATAATACCTGTAGATTAATTTTATTTCAGTTAAAAATAATAATATTGTGTTTTTGGTGTAAGTATACACAATAATTTGGGTTCCTATTCAAAAACTTCTACACAACTTGCTCAGTAACATTGGTTACATTGTTCATAATATGTGAACTCTCTCATCATTTCTTTGCAGTTTGTTCCATTTCCTTTATCTACTTTTCTTTACATTCTCATCTTTGTTTCAAAGTAATTGTTGACTATTTGGTCTCACAGGTGAGTTTGGGTTCAAGATTGGAAAACCAGTCTTGGGGAGTCTTCTTGTCTCAACCAGCCCAATAAGTCTGTTTTTATTGTTTTGTTTTTTAAATATGTTTTTCTAACTCTAGGTTTTTGATTTGCACATTTAATTATAGCATTTCACTTTGTCTTCTCAAGCTGTTCTTTGTGAAACTTTCTGTTCAGTTCTTTGACCTCATTTCTTATGTTTGCTTAAGCTACTGGATGAGTAAGAGCAAGTTTCAGAGTCTTCTGATATCCACATAGGTCTTTTCTTTCTTTCCTGTCTTTCTAGTGACTTTTTGGTTTCTTCACGAATGGTGTTCTTGATGTCCTCACACAGTTCATCAGGTATTCCACATTAGTGTTCAATGTGTCAAATCTGTTCTTAAAATTCAGGTGGGGTAGACTCAGAGGCAAATTTGAGCTCTCATGGACTTGTTCTAATTTTCTTCAGCTTTATCCTGAACTCACATATGAACAATTGATGGTCTGTTCCAATGTTGCCCACTGGTCTGGTTTTAGCTGCTGGCATTGAGCTTCTCCATCACATCTTTCCACAGATGTAATCAATTTGAATTCTGTATATTCCATCTGTTGAAATCCAGGTGTATAGTCACTGTTTGTGTTGTTGAAAAATGGTATTTGCTATGAACAAGTTGTTGATTTTGCAAAATTCTATCATGCGATCTCCAGCTTCATTTCTATCACCAAGATCATATTTTCCAACTACTGTACCTTTCTCTTTGTTTCCAACTTTTGCTTTCCAATAGCCAATAATGATTAATGCATCCTGATCGCATGTTTGATCAATTTCACAATAAAGATAAGGTAGAATTCTTCAATGTTTTCATTAGTAGGCTTTAGTACAATAGTGCGTAAATTAATGAGTTGTATTGATTGGATTTCCTTGAAGGTGGATAGATATAATATTTTAACAGCCAGCATTGTACTTCAAGATAGATCTTGAAATGTCCTTGCTGATAGTGAGTACAAAGTCATTCCTCTTGATTGTGTCATTCCTGGCACAGTAAACCATATGATGATCTGATTCAAAAAAGTCAATATATATGACCTCTAAACATTTGCAGCGGTTTCTTCTTAGCTTAAGTTGTGTCCCACCAGCAAAGATCCCCAAAGTTCAATTCCCACAGGCTTTACTCCATTTACACCACCATGTTTTAACTCTACTTCGAGAAAGCAGCCACTCAACAGGATCAATTTGGAGTCCCTTCCCACCCAAGGGGCCCATCCTTCAGGAGTATCTATGACAATGCTTTGCTTCCATTCATTTGGCCTTCAGTGTTTGACAAGGTTTCAGTGCTATGCATAAGGTTCCCAGTGGCTACTTCCTCCAAAATCAGCAGCTATTCCTTCTTTCTATGAATACTGCCTTTGTAATAATGCCATTTAAACAATAAAAAGTCTATCAATATATGAACGAAGGGTATTTTTTCATTTACTGAGGTCTTCTTTAACTTCTTTCTGCTGTTCTGTAATTCTCAGTGTGCAAGTTTTTCAATTTTTTGGTTAAATGCAGTCCTAAAATTTTATTCTTTTACATGCTATTGTAAGTGGAATTATCTTCTTAATTTTCTTTTCAGATTCTTCATTGCCAATACTGTGCTAGTTCCTAAAACCAAGGGCCCCCCTGACAGAGCCCCAGTTTCCCCCTAAGACTTCAAATAATTATAATACCATTTTGAGTACTCTCACATTCACTTTCTTACTACCAAGCTGCCAAGGTGAAGTCCCAAGGTGACAGGGAATGAGAGTACCCCTGAGCGACCTCTTAGGCGATCCAGGAATGCGGGATGAGCAAGATCTAAATAGTAAAGATAGACAAAAGAAGGAGGAACATCCTCAAAGACTGAGGGTAGAGTGAGACAGTTCCTCCTCAACCCAAATATGAAAATAGAAGAGGGCTATTTCCTTTGTCTCCTGCAATTCTGGTCTGAAGAATCAACAAAAGACCCCTCCTAAATGTCTTTAACACAAAGATCTTTGCAGAAGTGACTTTTTATACTTATCTTATTACTGAAAGAATCAAACCACTACCAACTCTGTAGATAAAGTGGTAATCCTGTATTGTTCTTTGGACTCTCACACGTACCTTTAATGGCACGGTAGTACATTTTCCTCCTCTCTTTTCTTTTTACTACATATGTTGAATAATTTTTTCCCCACTATTATAACTTTGTGATGGTTTCCCCCCCTAGGACAGTGTATATAAATATTTTCATGTTGATTTGTAACTGTGACTTTGCTGCATTAATTTATAATTATTGCAGCATTCTTTAGGATTTTCTATATGAATCATCTTTGAATTGTCCAACTGCTCAGATTAGAATGTCAGTACTCTGCTGAACAGAAGTGGTGAAAGACATCTTTATCTTGTTGCTGTTCTTGTGGGCAAAGGTTTACAATCTCACCACTGAGGAAGCCATTAAATCTATTGGGTAGCTTTTATCATGCTATACAAGTTGCACTCTGCTATGTCTAGTTTTATGAGGAACCCTGGTGCCCTAGAGGGTTATGCATTTGGCTGTGAACTGAAAGGTCAGCTGTTGGAAACCATCAGACTCTAGGTGGGAGAAGAGTTACATGTAGTCTCAAAAACCAACAGTGGCAGTTCTACCCTGTTCAACATGTTCACTGTGAATTGGAATCCACTCAGTGGCAGTGAGTAAGAGTCCTAATATTTATTATGAAAGGATGTTGAATTTTATCAAATGCTTTTTTGGGTCATTTTCTGTTCTATGTGTATTAAATTGATTTCTTAAGTTGAATCACTCTTACTTTCCTGGGCTAAATCCACGTTGTTACAGTGTATAATGCTTTTACTGTGCGAGTGCTTTTGGTTTGCTAGTATTTTGTTGAAAAAGTTAGCACTTATAGTCCTAAGAGGTATAATAGGTCTATACAGTAATTTCCTTTTCTAGTGTTATCTTTGTCAGGCTTTGGTATCCAGGCAAGGTTGGTCTCATAGAATATGTGAGGATATATTCTTACTTTTTGGTAGAGTTGGAGTAGAAATAGTGCTTTTGTTTTTGTTTTGATGTTTGGGAGAATTAATCAGTGATATCAGGTGGTCCTCTACTTCTGTTTTTGTTGTTACAGGTCTATTTAAGTTATTCTGTTTCTTTGAGAGTCAGTTTGGATAGTTTGTGCTTTTCTAGGAATATGTTGATTTCAATTAGGGTACTAAATTTGTTGGTTTTGATTTGCTCATAGTATGCTCTTAAAGTCCTTTTTCTTTCTGTAAAATTATTAGTAATGTTCTTTTTTTTAATTTCAGATTTTAATAAATTGAGTGTTCTTTTAAAATTAGCTAAAGAATTTATTCTATTTTACTGATCTTTTAAAAAGCAAAAATTTTGGTTTTGTTTTTCTGTTCTTTATTTCATTTATTTTTTAATCTTTTTATTTCTTTTTTTTTATCTTCTTTTTATTTCTTTCTTCCTTTGGGCTTATATTGATTTTCTTTCTCTAGTCATCAAAGGTGAAAGTTAGACTACAAATTTAATACCTTTCTCTTTTAAAATGTAGGTATTTATACTGTAGTTACAGATATCCTTCTAAACACCTTTTTACTATATCCTTTAGCTATTAGTATGTAGTGATTTATTTTATTTTATCTCATCTCAGGAAACCATGGGGGAAGGGAGACAGCGATTGGTGTAAGATATGAAAATAATAATTTATAATTTATTAAGGGTCTTGAGAGTGGGAGAGTCAAAAGAGTAGCTGATACCAAGGGCACAAATATAATGTAAATGTTTAGAAAATAATGATGCAACTGATGTCGAGATTGTTATAAGATAGGTTTGATATGTTTGATACAACTGATGTCGAGATTGTTATAAGAGCTGAAAGAGCCCCCAATAACATGATCTTAAAATTAATAAAATTTATTCCCCACAGTATCACCTGTAATAGTGTCAATTTTAAGAAGCTTCACGATATGCTTGAAGATTATCTGCTGAAGGTTGTCTGCCATTGAGAACAGTCAGACCCTACTGTGTGCCCCACCCTAAGTATGGTCCATTCCCTTCTGATACTGATCACAGATTGTTTCCCTGGAGAATATCCACCCCATCCAGCGGGGGGCATTGCCCATTGGGAAACATTGCTGTATCACAATGAGGATATACAAGGGATTAAATGTTAACTTTTTTTTTTGTCATAGAAACTTTGTTATCTACCCATTCTAAAATAAATGATTTTATAAACAGGTATGAAAACATGACAATAATGTTTATCACTAAATTTACCTTGCCACTATTTGAAGGTGATTTTATGCAGCATTGGACATTTTATCGAGTCTTACCTGAGCCATTTTTCAGATACCCATTTGCATCTACAGTTGTATACATGATATATGGTCCTGGCTGATTTACTCCAAAGGGCTGTAATAAAAAAAGTCATGGTTAAGCCTTGAAAAGAATGTGAATGATTTCAAGTTTGTTATAAAGTAAAATGTCTTACACATTTTTTTACTTAGATGACAATTATTTTGAGAAAAATGTCATTAATAAATAGCATTTCAAAAGAAATCTATTAGTAGAAAAAATTAAATTTAAATTATTCTGTATCACAGGATATATTCATTTTCAACTTTACAAGGTAGCATTAATTCCCCCCCCCCCCCCTTGTACTGTGGTAGTAGTACCACTTTCTATTCCTCCCAACTCTATGGGAAAGATCCCATTCCTTCTCTCTCTTATTATCTACTCTCTCCTGGTCTTTGTCTTAGGAATAGGGATGCCCTTTCATATTCTAAATCTGTCCCATTCCAGTGATGCTAAGTGATACTTTATGGTCACTGTATTTTAACCTCAAATTTAATTTGTCTATATATTAAAAGGTTGGTATCCTGGGCATACAGTATTTTATGTAGAAAGGATATTATACACTTATACTACATACTATTTCCACAAAATAATTACCAGAATTCTATAGGTGAATTCATATTTTGAAAATGGGCAAGCAAAGGTATTGTTCTTTAGATAGCCACAATTTAAAATCTAGTCATTGACAGTTGAAGAGATACGGAATTATTTTCATCATCATCTAATTATTCCTTTTTAAAAATTGTATCGCTTTAGCCTATATGCAAAACTCTTAAATAATATATTTAGTTACTTGTATTTTTTTCAGCAAACCTTCAGACTACTGAATTTTTTTGTCCTAGTTCACATTAGAATGAACTCTGCCCTACTATCCATAGAATCTCATTTTACAGATTTATTTAGGTAAATTTTGTTTTTCCCACTTTTATTCCATTAAAAAATCAAGTCAGTGACTCCTTAAGCTCACCTTAATTTGGCTCTCACCATGGGCCAGTTAATCTAATATTTGAGGGAAGATCCAGCAATCTTTATTCAGTTTATACACTAATTCTCAAGGTACGGTTCTCAAGGAAGGTCCCAAGATAGATTTTCTTTTTAAAATCTTTTTATTGGGGGCTCGTACAACGCTTGTAACAATCCATCCATCCATTGTGTCAAGCACATTTACACATTTGTTGCCAATATCATTCTCAAAACATCTGCTCTACACTTGAGCCCCTGGCATCAGCTCCTCACTTATTCTCCTCCCTTCCTGTTCCCCCCACCCTCATGAACCCTTGATAATTTACAAGTCATTATTATTTTTTCATATCTTACACTGTCCAATGTCTCCCTTCACCCACTTTTCTGTTGTCTGACCTCCAGAGGAGGTTATATGGAGATCCTCATAATCTATTTCCCCTTTCCACGCTCCACCCTCCTGGTATCACCACTCCCACCACTGGTCCTGAGGGGTTCATCTTTCCTGTATTCCCTGTGTTTCCAGTTCCCATCTGTACCAGTGTACATCCTCCGGTCCAGCCGGATTTGTAAGGTAGAAGTGGGATCACGATAGTTGGGGGGAGGAAGCGTTCAAGAACTAGAGGAACGTTGTGAGTTTCATTATTGCTATACTGTACCCTAAGTAACTCATCTCCCTACTCCCCCTCTGCAAGGTGTGTCCAGTTGTCTAGAGATGGGCATTGGGTCTCCATCGCGTGCCACCCTCATTGACAAGGATATGACTTTTCTCCCCGCCTTTGGTGTTTAAAGCCTGGTCCCTTTGGCCCTTTGTGATCACACAGGCTGGTGTGCTCCTTCTATGTGGGCTTTGATGCTTCTGTGCTAGATCGCCACTTGTTTGCCTTCAAGACTTTATGACCCCAGACACTATATCTTTTGATAGTTTTCTTTTGATAACTTTTTTATAGCTTTTGATCGCTGTATCTTTTGATAGCTTTCTTCACCACACTTGCTTATGCCCCCATTTGTCCTCAGCAATCATATCAGGAAGGAGAGCACACAGTGATATGCTTTTTCATTCTTTGATGCCTGAAACCTGATCCCTCCAAGACCTCGTGATCACACAGGCTGGTGTGCTTCTTCTGTGTGGGTTTGGTTGCTTCTCAGCTAGATGGCGGCTTGTTTATCTTCAAGCCTTTAAGATCCCACGTGCTATAAGGTAAAAAATGCTTTCCAGAAAATACTTAGATGTAATTTTAGCTAAAGATTCAAAATCAAGGGTGTGTAACTAGCAGTGGCACCAAGTTGTGGTTATTAAGAATTGGGCATTTAATTGACATTTTCTTGAAAAGAGTCAAAGTAAGCCTCTATTTTCAAAACAAGAGTATTAATGGTTAATATTACATTTGAGCTTTAAGTGAAAATTGAAACATGCTTAGATGAACATGACAGCTTTCCAGTACTTAGGTGAGGTAGTTAGTTTATTGTGCCAACCTGGCTGATAAACACATGTGGGGTTAATTGAAGGACAGAAGGATAAATGGCTCAGTGAGCCTCGCCTTTCTAGTTCCTGGGTTTCTTGCTTTCTGATGGTCAGACCAGGGTGCAGCTGCCTTAGCCAGTTCCCTGCTTCAGCTAGCAAGACTCACTTCCTGAAAGACATCCCTGAGGAGAAGCCACATGGACCTACCCAGATGCAGCCCTGGATGCTGGAGCACCTGTGTGGAGACCCCTGCCAGCACTGAGATGCTTACACATTCACTGACTCGGCTTTCCTCCTGCAGTCGGCATCATTGCGTGTGTTTTGTGAAATGGAGGAGGACTTTGTGGATTGGTGTTGGACATATGGGTTAATGTTGGACTTGTGGGCTTGGGCAGCACTGGGTTGGGATGTTTTCTTGATGTGCACTTAACCTTTATATAAAACTCTCTTATACATGAGTATCTGTGGATTTGTTTCTCTAAAGTACCCAGACTAACATATTAGTCTTTTTTTTTTAGGAGTTCCGTGGTGACAGTGATTTTAAAAGTATTATATAATGTAATATGTTAACAATGGGAAGATCTTTATATCTTAGTAAATCAATATTTTCCAAATGACTAATATACAATGTTATAAAGCCATGTGTGGATAAAGATCCAATCAAAGTTAAGACCGACTGATGGATTTTAATGTAACATAGACCAAAGCGCTTCTGAGATGATATAGTTTCCTGGAAAACCTGTTCCTCTGTAACAGCACTGAGAAAACAGGCAAAAGTAGGCTCGAGCCCAACTTTTGCAGAATGCTGGAATGTAACCAAAAGTTTTTAGAAATTCAAGGAGTGCTTACTCAAGAAAAATGCTGGCTTTTGTTAATAATAATAAGCTTCATAATACTTTACCTTACTCTACTTCTATTTCTCTCTCCCCAGCTCTACAGTAGTCTTGAAATCAGATATTTCATGACTATCCAGGAAATCTTCAATGTATGACATATTAAAGTTATGATGATGAACAGCACTTGTGATCCTCTTTTTATTTTTGGTACATATTATCATTAATAATATGTACTTCCTACAATCTTGCAGCACACACTTTGCTGACATTGTCATTCTTCCACGGAATCCTGGAAGTTCACTGGTTAAAGGTTGGTGGTTTGAACCTATCAGTCACTCTATGGGAGAAAGTAGTAGTCTGCTTCTGTTAAAAAAATTAGAGTCAGGGGCTACACCTGAAAGACTTAACACAGAGGTCCAGCTGAATGAACTGAGTCCTGCCTCAGAGGTGTCTGCACCCTTGGACTTGGGTGGGAGAGAAAACAAAGAAAGGCCAACCAGGGACTGTGCAAGAGGCAGTCATTTGACCTGGGGGTGAGTGTCCAACGGAAAGGGACCCAGAATCACCATACCTCGATGCCCACCTCACAGATATATGGCAGGTTTCAATCTTCTGGGTAGCGATCTGCATTTGGAAGAATTTATCCAGGAAGGTCCCCATGGCACCAATCCCCATACTTAAGTACATAGAGCACAATTGAATGGAATATCAAACCGTGTAGGGTAACAACTCATGGGTTGCAGGTCAAGGTGGAAATGTACTTGCATAGACTCCTCCCTGTGTCATTGTGAAAACTGACAATGTTATCAGTCCAATCATGACCGACAATGTTATACTTTTTCATTTCTATGGGTTCTTTTTTCCTGCCATTAGCTTTGTTTTCCTTTTTATCTATTTGTTTGCTGGTTAGTTTGTTACTGTTATTGGTGTAGTTGGTCTTATGGGGTTTTGATTTTGTCATATAATGGCCACCAAATTAAACCTGAATTGTTCATATCCCATGGACATGCAGATGAATTCTGGGCTCCTACTTAATTGTAGCCCTAATCCAAGAACAGTTCATTCATGAAATGATCACTGAAGATAAGGGTGCTACAGCAAAGTGTGGTGAAGAAAGCAGATGTCTTACAGGCATGTTCTCAAACAAGCAGCCATTTAAGTGAGGCTACAACTAAGTCCACATGGAAGAAGCACACCAGTTTTTGTGATCCAAAGATGATAATAACTAAATTAAAATATGACGAAGGAAAAAGTATCAGGGCTAAAATTATGAACACCCAATTGATATAAGGCTATGGAAGACAGTGGAACCCAAAACCCATCTGCAGAGTAGTTAGATTAAGTGGCTGGCAGATCCCCCACTAGCCACAGGCAAGGGTTGTGAACAGCCTTACTATCAGACAGAAATTGTAAACCTGATTATGCTGAATTGAACTTGATACTCAGCCAATTGACCTCCCTAGTGACCTAGTATGAATTTGTTCTAGGTGCAAGTATCTCTTGAGTGTTCCATGACAAGATTTTCTTCCTTGGCTTTAGAGTTGATGGGGTCCTTTTCTCTTACTCATTATTTGTATTTTTATCTTTATCACTTTATTTAGATTTTGTTTTTGATTGTTTCTACTGGGTTTTCCAGTTTGTGAAGCACAGAAGGAGTGGATGCAGAGAGGTGATAACTGATGCAATGGTTTATGGGGATGCAGGGATGCGGGTGCGAGTTAGGGAGGGTGAGGGGATTTCGGGAATGAACACTGAAGGTGGAGGAGGAGGGAGCACTAGAACTGATTGTGATTATA